AGTCAGAATTCTGAGTTGCTGAGTCGCAATTTTGAGATACCATAGCACGTTTTTTTTTTACTCCCTGGCGGAAACGGGCTTCCATACTTTATGGGTCATTCTAACTGCACTGCTGACAATTTGCAAAAACAAATAACCAGAAATGATGTGTGACAAGACTACAAATGAATATCATAGTTTCTTATGACTCAATTTTGCACATTAAAATTCTATCATAATCCAACCTCTCCTTTTTTAAGTAAATCACACAGGTACAGCTGTGGCAATATTCTGGGCTATGCAAACCATAATTAAATGATCACATCTACTGTACATGCATTTTCAAAATATCTCCATGCATTTTGTTTAAAACCTGCTCTGCTGAGCAGTGATTCCTGTTAGCAGACAAGACTGGCGTACTTCTACAAGCTCCTGTCCATTCTTTCAATCAGATGTTGTGATTGACAGAGAATTTGTGGACAACCTCTCTGGCTTTAGCATCTGATTTAATGCCACACAGGATCAGAGGCTGACTTTGCAGGGAAAAAAAAAAGTTAGGAATGGTAATGAGGCACACGAGATGCAGCAGGCTTGGTTTCGTCCACAGACAATGTGCCATGCACCTCATTATGTCCATTAGCTGGGTTGTGGTTGGCGGTGGAAAGCTGTCCTTCTGAGACCACCAGGAATGAAAAGTTCTTGTCATGGATCATCTTGGCAGCTCGACATGCTTTGAGGGTCTTTGAGGTACTCCTGCTGTTTGAGTTGATGGTTGGTTTTTGGCATCTCACAAAAGAACAAAAGCATCTGTAGAACTGTGAAACAAAAAGAACCAAAAACTTACATTAAAAACCATGTGTTAAAACAACTATGAATTATACCAAAACGCCATATGGACAGCTGGTTATTCTAGAACAGAATGCAGGCAATGTATTCTCATGTCATTTGATTGCATTGTTTTCTGTTATACTCAGCAGTCGCAAAGCCAGGGCCATCAAGTAATTAGCCGTTGCATACAAAGTACTGTATGTGGAGAGTGTAATATTGTCCCTACAGTGAAAACCTGTAGGGACATGGCATGGCCTGCTTCAATGCCGGCATGAATACCTCACTTAAAAATGTCTTTGCACTGTCAACACCCTCTTGTGCTTTTGAAAACCAGTTTCTTCAAATCAGTACAGCAACACCTTAGCTGGAGCACAACAGACGTTGAAACAAAGAAGAAAAACGAGTACTACTGGATTGAGAGTAGCTTTCAGCTCCTAGGCTCTGCTAATTATGCTTTAAGATTGGTGGGAAATTAAAAAGTGTGGTTATTTGTAAGAACCTGATTTTATGCTGTATAAAAAAGGCTTAACTGCACTGCTTGTAGAAATGAAAATGGATTAAATTAACAGTTTCATAAGAAAACTAATATAAATATATATATAATATATATTATAATAATATAATATATATAATGAACATAATGCTTAAGGAATAGACTCTCTATGGTGTTGATGGTGAACAGGAAAAAGGTGCTAATATCACGTTGCTCAATATAAAACAACATACATGTTTATACAGTATAGTCATCAGAAATAAAACAGCCTCAGGAACAAAAGATTACAGGTCTTCTCTACTCACCCAGGTCTGAGAGGCCCTGCTATGGAGCTTTCTTGTTTTGCTGAAGAACTTCTTCTGATTATTTAGTTGTGCTTGAATCTGTACAGCATTTTTAGTCTTCAACTCGCCTCAACTCAGTAATTCCATAACACGGGCTGGGAGGAATTGAAGACTGAAAATGACATACAGGACATTAATTCCCCATTTCCTGTAAATAAAATCGCTCTTAAATATTTAAAAGATGCAGCATTTGCAGTAAGGTGGTGAAATAAAATCTATTTTTTAAAAGCCCAATTTTGCATTTCTAGAATACCACAACTACTTGAGCATGACGTTTGTGGTATTCACAAAGGAAAAGTAAAAGAAGAAGGAGAAATGAAAGAATGAGCCCAAAGTGCATGATGTTGATGGAATGTAGATTTTAATCATTAAAAAAAATCTTTGCTTGACTCTGGCCTTATATTTACAATTGAGATAAAACTGCTAATGCATACAATATCTGCCTATAGAAGTAGCTTTCCCAGATGGGGTTGCTCTTCACAAAATCCCAGCTTTAGTGTTAGTATTTAATGAACAGAAAGACACAGGAAATGTGCTGTAAAAAAAGTAATAACTTATCTCCAGGGCATCACCTGGTATATCCAGAGGTTATTTTGTCTTTTATAATATACAGTATTAAGAATACTCTAATGAAAGTCGCATATAAATTCTGCACTGTAGGCTTTTTATTTAGCTAGTGAATCCTGGCTGAATGACTGAACTATATGCTTTATTTATGTTTGTTTTAAGGTCAGATGCACAGTTGCAAACAAAAATTTGGAAATTCTGCGTTTAAACATACAGTATCTAGGAAGCTCTACAATAAATTGGAGCGCCACAAAATTGTTTTATATCAATCATAGATTGTGGATCAAACTTTTAAAAGATTGTTAAGAATTCTAGAGAAAGTCATACATTTGTATATAAATCAATACAATAAATAAAATATCATAAACAATGTATTAAAATTCTGACACTATCTTACAATGTTTGATAAGAACAAATTTAAACAGCTGTGTTTTTTATATGATCTTGTGTTACCATACATTATCATAAATATCAGTTTCAGAACACAAGCTTTGACACACTACTTAAAGCTGGTTTCTTTATGAAAATGTGATAAGGTCAGATGAAACCAAGTTCCATACTGTGTCTCAAGAGGTATTTCACATTGGTTTTATTAATCATTTAATGGAATAGTGACTTAAATAGTGCATTTAATCACATATTTAAAAAAAACTACAGTATATCTTTACAGAGAAATGCAAGTGTAGCTATTGATCAGCACAGGTTATGCTCTTCAACCCTGAAACAAACATCAGCATCTATGAAAGAACACATACTAGTTTTCAAATTCTCATGGGTTAAGAAGAGATTATTAAATGAAGTTCATAATTTTCTTCAAAACCGAAATAACAGTAACCAAACACCAAACCCCCCCCCAAAACAGTACACAAATTCCTTGAGTAGCCTGTATACAAATACTAATTAAAAACTTGTTTCAATTCTCAGCACAAGAAAGGATCGCCTAAACTATTTTTAATATTCTTAACTGGAGTTAAAAATGTTCCCAGAACTAAGAAAATAAAAATGCTTCTTCAGCAAGTCCTACAACATACAGTAGGTTTAAAGCTGGAAAAATAAAAAGTTACACAAGATGGAAAAATGATCAATTTTGTGAAAAGTAAAACAAAGGTTTTTTTCAACTTTATTATGACATAGATTAGGGAGATGTCCCAGATTCCTTCATCGAACTACAGCATAGACCAATTGCTCTGCACTAGGCGTTTTGATGATGCAGGAATATTAAATATGGAAAAACAAATTTTGAGCCCCAAAAAATTGCATGTTACTGCAGATTTCAAATGACACCTTACTGTCATTTCTGACTCAGCAGATCATCTTTTTTTACATTTTTTTAGCTGTTAATTGCTTTCAACATCTCTTGCTCATCTCTGTGAAAATAATTTGTGGAGTTGTTTTCCATTTTGTATTGCGCAAACATTCTGTCAGAGCAAATGACAATTAACAGCCCTTTTAATTTATAATGTTGTTACTTTGTGATAGTCTACATTTGACACATCTACACATCTACATTTAATTGACCGCTCTTAACTTCCAACATAGTGATCCAATCTATTCTACAGTAGGTGCTCCTTCCCTATCTGAGTTGAAAGCTTGAAAAAAATGTTTTTGAAACAACAAAAATTCCAAAGAACCACATTCCAAAAATGAAGAAAAAAAATGTTACAGGTGACAGGAACACACACTATAAATAAACACAATCGTACATGGTACTGTACGATTTCTGTTATCATTTAAAATCATCTCATTGTTCAATCTTGTTACTGCATTCTTTTATTAGAAAATGTATATTTAGCCTATTTGTATTTCTTTAAAACAATAATTCTTACTTCAATTTTAGTTGCTAACTGTATCTGTATTTTAATTCCACCTTATTCTCCTTTTTAATGTTAATATCTTTCGTGGGTCTATACAGTACATTCAGCATCCTCACATACAGTGCCCCTTACCTGATTGTTCATAAATACATAGATAATGGGATTGTAAACAGTGCTGCTCTTAGCCAGAACTGAAGGAATAATGCTGACAGTGGGAGTGATGAGACCAGGCTTCCCAAATGTGGCTATCAGAGCCACTATCCCATAAGGCAGCCAGCAAAGCAAGAAGCAAATCACCATGGCAACCACCATAAGCAAAACTCGTTGCTCCCTTGTGCGTCCAGTCACAGTGCTGATGCCACTCACCTGGAACAGAAATAGAGCAGGGGATTTGGAAGCAGGTAAAATCATCCTCGAGAGAAGAGAGAAAATTCACCACTTGTTGTTTTAATTTGTATCTTAAGAGTTTATTTATTATTTACTGTACTGCACACCATGGCACAAGATATTATACTGTATATACTCTGTTTAAAGACTTCTCATACCTTTTAAACTGAATCAATAAAACTCAAGAAGTACGTAAGACACTGAAGTCAGGGCACTTGTGCAACATTACATGAGTTCATAGGATCATTTTAGAGATTGGCCAAGGTGAAATCCAAAAGTGTGTTAGGATTTTAATAATAATAATAATAATAATAATAATAATTATTATTATTATTATTATTATTATTATTATTATAGCACTCATCACTACAATGGATTTTTAATATCAGTTATTTTTAAATAACTGAAAGAAATACAATGTTAGGTTAATATTTAACCTTCTACTTTAGTAAACAAAACATAAAAAGCTTTCCTTTAAAGTAGTAAAACAACGCTGTTGGAGAAAGAATCAATGCCTATATCTAAGTGACGGAAGTAACATGAATAATTGCAAAAGACATTCTTTTAAGGTACATGGTGAACAAAACAGTTTAAGCTTTTCAAGTGTAGATTCATATTGTGGAAATAATTAGTGAACAACTAACCTCAGTCCAGAATTGGTCCTGGATATTGAAGTGATCAAATGTGAAGTATAACTCATTGTACAGGATTCAATTTAATACATGGAGAAAATCCCCATGGCACCGACTACACTAATATTTGATTTAATATGAGACATGAACTTCTGTTCATTGCTAGTAACATTTCGTTTAGAGTAATCAGTTCTGCTTCATTTTAGGTGTCTGGTAATAACAGGTTATAAAGAGTCTATTAATATGTTGAGTTTGGGGTATGCTTCAGGGTATGGTCAAGATTAGGATTTAAACTACAGTAGAGATAATTAACAATTCACATTTGCAGTATGTCACTCTATCTATTTAGAACAAAATTGAATTTAGAAAGTGTTTAGGGCTCTGCACTCTTGAGGTGAAGGTCTGGTGTTCAAGTCCCGTGCAAGTTACACCAGTACATGCCCTGTTGTGCAAACAGGTACTCTCCGGTTTATCATTGTTATTTGATTAAATAAAGGATAAAATTTTAAAAAGAAATACCATCTGCAGGTAATACCTACAAATATGGACCGAAACATATGTTAAAAAGATACAAAATTGCTGTACATGTGTTTTCTGGGCTAAGATTTTTTCCTACAGTCAGAGTTTAGCATGAAAACTCACCTCACAGAAATTAGATTATACACACAGATTCAGCCTGATTATTCTGATAAGCTTTTCATTTTGGAAAGTGCAATACTGAGATCAGTGAAATGAAGTTTATTTTTAGATATTTCACAGTCGAGGCTCAGTAGTTCTGTGAGCTTCAGTCTGAGGCCTACAACCATCAATTAACTAAAACACTTACTAAATATTGAGTTAGAGAGCCCAATGTGATGGAACAAATGGATTGTGAGGATATTAAAGGATGTGTTTATTACTATCACGAATAAAATGTATAAACATGTTTGAGGAGACTAGCTCCACTATTTAACCTGAACACAGCTGCACGTTCTAGCACAGGGGTGTTCAATTATAGACTTTGATGTTCTCAGTCAAGCACGGTTCTCATGATTCTTCACATTGTCAAATTCCAAAGGCTATGGGGTAAATTGGTCCAGTGAAGGTTTAATTGGATCAAACTGATACTCTCCCAGGTGAACAGTTATTTACAATCTAAAGACACATAGAAAATGTGCCGAATTATGGACCTGGAGATCATGGAATCCCTGGTCTAGAATTCTTTATGGAAGATTCAGTTGCTACAGATCTGGGGACTGTAATGTCTGTGAGTGGAAATTCCAGTTTACAGAGCTTTAAAAATAAAGTAACTGCAGCTGACATAACCTTCTTTGTCATCAGCAGGAGAGCACCTTAAGCAACACATACAGTATACAGTATACGGCTGACTAGTTACTGTCACATTATCTTTCTCCATTTGGATCCTAAGATACTTTCCATGCTTATAAGTGTAATTGTCATGAGAGGATGAGTGACCCTGCTCACAGCTGCAACAGCACTCTCTTTACAACTTTACATTGTACTTACTGTATTTAACATTATAAAGAAACAAAAGGGAGATCGCAAAAAAGAAAATGGGTTGATGAATTGAAAAAAGACCATCACAAATTCATAATTAAATCACTGGTTCTGTTATAGGAACAAAACAACTCCAAATTTTAATGTGTCCCTTCTTGGCTTTGAAATAAATGCAGATTTCCAACAGGGCTGTTTAAGAACCATCACAACTGCAACTTTTTTCTTAGAAAGATGCTTTAGTCTTCACCCTGATGGCGAGGCAAAGGCTTCAAGAGCAAACCATAATTTGACAAGTAAAATGTTGGGACAAGCTGTTTTGCTTTCAAGAAGCACGGGAGAAATCTTGTGAAGGAGATTCAGGAAAATATTTAGTAATTGGAGCAATCCGGTAGAGAGAGAATACTCTGAATTTAACAGGTTTTTCAAACTTAAATCTTGAAAGGCAACCCTATATATGAGGACAACTAATTCACAACACCGCCTTTTAAAAATCCATCAACAAAAAAATAACTTAAGGCTGGGACAGGCTGCTGAAGGAGATAAGAGTTTTAGATTTATAAACATGGAAAGCAGTCCTACCAGTGCCCAGTGGTACAAATATCTCAACTAAATCAAGTACTTTTACCCCATACTCAGACACACTTAGAGCTTAATTTCTTCTAAACTCATCTCATGATGCGTTCTTTTCCAAAAGTGCTGCAGCCTACATCACAAATGAATATACCTTTAGAATTGCCACTCTAAAACTCTGGAAAAGAAGGAACTTCAAGGGACAATCCTACATAACCACTGTTTTAAAAAGTAATACAGGACAGCACATGTTTTATAGTTTTCAGCTGCATTGCTATAGAAGTTTTGGGCATAATCAAAGGATTTTCTTCATCCTTTTCTACATGTTATGCCCTGGTAAATTTCAAAGCAATGTTGCATATTTATCAGGAGATTCATCCGCATTTTACCCAGCTGTGTCTATGATCTTGCATACCTAGGTACTGTACATCAAACTGGAACTCTTGTTGCCCAGCGTTTATTTTTCAATTCGCTTTTTATTTATCGGAAGATTTCAGAACGAACTGGCAAAAACCTACCTTCCATTAATCAAATAAACTACTGCAGTACAAAGACAAATAGCCACGCTGCCTTACTTATTTGTAAGGTATGGGATTCATAATTCATGTTTTATTGCAATAGGCTGAGATCTTATTTGTGGTGCATTTTTATTCAAAACATATCCAAAAAAACATAAGAGGGTGACCTAGAGGTTATTTCTTCCACCAAACACAGTAAAAATGTAATGGGCTCCATAAGGGGCATGGTACCACCACATTTTGCTTCTAATTTTGTGCTGTCTCATGTTGAGAAATTAAAGTATCTAAGTAGAACTACAGTAGAAAATAATCTTTAATGCATGTGAAAGGATATGCAACAAATTAAGGTTAACAAAGAAATTAACACATTTAACTCACACGTGAGAAAAGTCAAAAGACCATCTGTCCTCACTGATTATTCTTCTTGCATGGTTAATGATGGGTCGGTTCTGTGAGTTTTGTTTAGATTTGCGGACTTAATTGGTTTTCTCAAAGGAACTCAAAGAACAAATGGTTGAGTGTTGAAGCTACACGCAAAAGGTCAACAGTGCTTTCAAATTTATTCAAATTAATATGGAGGGTTGTTTGCTCTTCTTCTCTTCTCAATTGAGAATAAGGAAATGGTTGGAAAATTACAATCTGGATTCACACCCATTTATTCTTGATTGGTATTAGAAAAGTGTGACCCAGAATGACATGTAATGAGCTTTCATACCATCTCCCCTGGCCTTTTGCAGGTGTATTGAACAGGATTAAGCTATAGAATTATTCAGAATGTCACAGAACACCTCCTATGTGGGTAGTGTAAGCCAGGGGTCGTGTAGTTACCAGAGGAAGAACAAACGCACAATGGTAAGGCATTACTAAAAAAATAAGAAGTCCCAGCTTCCTCGATTACCCACCCAAACAACCTCTGGGATCCTTCCCCAGGGGGAAAAATCCCAACAGAAAACAACCTGTAGGGTATACCATCCCTTTCCTCACAAGTTCTCTGTCTTTCCACTGTAGACACAAACTAGGGGTTTGATCACACAAAAGATCAACAAACATTGTGATAAATTACCAGTTTTTTCACAAGTACTTTGCTCTTATTATTTGTCCTCCTTATACCAACACATCCAACTCCTACTGTATCTCCAACAACTGTAAGTACTGTACTTCCCAAGCTCTTATATATGGTTTGGGACATACCATTACAATGGGAAAAAAACCCAACATAAACACTCAGGACAACACATAACACATACAATTGTAATCTGGACTACATGGACGCACAGATCCACATGCACAAACAGTACAAGTAAAAATAGTTTTCAGTTCTTTGTTGGACATTTAGAATTTAGAACTAGCCTTCTACCTACACGTTTTGTTGGTGACAGACTATTCTGTCACACAGGATGTCTCTGGAAAGGTTCTTGGATCAACTTTTAAAATAATGTTTTTTTTTTCCTGTTGAAGTCTTTGATATCTTTCACTAGCAATAATCGGTGAGAGCTGTACAGTAGATATGGCACTACCTTGTGCTAAATCTGGCCATCATATGTCATATGAGCAGACAGTATTGTAGGTACTAGGTACTGCACTAAAAATAGTACTATGGATGTGAGCACCAAAAGTCACAAATGTACTTAGGCAACCATCCAGCTGTGAAAACATGAAGAACAGGTTTACTTAACGGTTTCACTGTTCTCTTCCTGATATACGTTCAATTTTTTGGAAGAGGCTTTTGTTGGATTTTTACATGGGACTGTTCCTGTGCTCAATATTGTTTTGTTGCTGTCCTTTTTTATCCATTGCAAGATACAGTTGAGCTTTTGAAATAATTAATGTTATCAAATTCATACGGTAACCAAAATAATTAGAATATATGCTGCAATACTGCAACGTTAGGACTTGAATTTGAGATAATTAAAATGTATAATGTATAATTAAATGTATATACAGTAGTCTCTGTAATGTATGTAGCTGTTCTGGGAATATCTTTGCAACACAATATTTCAATGACGCATATCAGCTGATCATTTTTGGCATCTACCACTCTTTAGTAAAGCTACTAGGAAACCTACAGGTGACACTAAAAGATATTGCTTTCAAACACTAACAGAGACAGATGTAATGAGCTCAATTAAATTGCACTCCTGACAAAAAGCTGATGAGGTCTTTTTCTGATAAGATGCATTTTTAAGGTCATATCTTCCATATGTCGCCTTCTGGCAGTCGACCAGGACTTACCTGTTTAACAGTGAGCAGTAGCTTCCCATAGCTGTAGATAATTATCATGAAGGGCAAGACTAGACAGAAGGTGAAGAAGCAGATAATATATGACATGCTGTTTGCACTCTTGGATTGCCAGTTTACAGAACAGGTAGTACCAGGTCCCTCAGGTCCATAGCTGCTCCATCCAAAAAGAGGAGGTAACGTCCAAAGTAACGAGTATGTCCAGGACACTAAAATCCCCAAGACAGCTTTTTTGTAGTCTGTAGCATCAGCTTCCACAGTTCGCATCATTGTGATGTACCTTTCATAGGACAGCAGAGCCAGGGAAATAAGAGAGACTGTTCCTGCAGGATTAGCAGAACATTTGGAACCTTTAGAGATAACAAAACTGATGATCTGAGTCACTGAGTCAGAATATCTGTAAACCTTTTTTTTTTGTTGTTTTGCTAATCCCATTTATTGCTGTTCCTTCCTTTTCTGAAAAACCAAACCATAATGTAATAAAAGATCCTATTCGCAACCATAGCATGTACAGGAAGATGATTCAGGTAAACTCCTGCTTTGTACGCAGTAATACCTTCTAAATACTGAGCAGGCTTTGAAAACTGGAGAAAAAAACATTCACTTTGAAGACTCATCAAAATTAATACTTTAATTGCATCAGGTTCTGATTGCGCTTATGGAAAACTAAATGAACAATGATCTGTTATTTTAAAAGTTTATCTGCAAGTTATTCGGCCAAAAGCAGGCGGTCTTTCGAATAAAATAAATTTCCAAACATTAATATGAGTACAAGATATACATTTTAGGAAGAAAGGAATCCAAACGCGGGATCTTCATTAACCAGGGTGCAGAATACTCAAAGGACTATAATGCAGTATTAAGATAGAAAGGTTTTTAGAACGGATGACCCAAGTGACAACAGATGAAGCATTAATTCTGTAATGCGCAGCCTACACTATTTATTACCAAGACAAGATTGTATTCCACGAGGAAACTAAGCAATTAATATAAACCTGCACTTTATTAGAAAGAAAGGCTTACTTCCACAGTAATGGATTCAGTAATCTGGAGGGATTCGCAAATTGTACACATTTCCCTAGCGACTATACAGTACTCTACAGACCTTGACTAGCTGGAAACAGCTGAATCGAAACAGAGTAGACGTGTTATTTTTAAAATGTGTTTTAAAGATGCTTTTTATTTCCACTTTCGTCCGCTAAAGGCGATACTCCGATTACTGGTGACTGCTGATTAATTCTCCATTAATGTCTTACAGAAATGTGAAAGTTAAATTTAACATTTTGCAAAACGTTTTGATATGATTACCTTGAATATACCTTTTTTGTATGAATTTCTGAACATCAACATTAGTACTAATAATATTATAAAAATGTTATAAGAACTGTACGTGTAACGTTTTTACACCAGGTAGCTATTATTATATCTCTTTATTAGCATTGCTTAAAAGGACGAAACTTACCGAAAAGTGAATTGACAAAGCCATACCAGACACATCCACTTTCGCCAATGAGCCAGCGTCCCTGCGTGCTCGCTGCGAAACTGAACGGCGTTCCCATCACACATACCAGCAGATCGCTAACAGAAATGTTCATTAGCAGCATATTAATAGGAGACCGTAAGACTTTGTACAGGCAAAAGAGCAGGAGAACTAATAGGTTATTTATAAATCCCAGGGTCCCGATAAAGCCCAAGCAAATAGCCACGATCAGATGGCCAGTAGCAGTTAAATTGTATTCCCTGGAATTGTCCAGGTGCGCATCTCTAGTGTTCTTGCACTGCACAGCGTTGCCACCGATACACTCAAGACTCACGTTAGACGTGATCATTTTCAAAATAGCGTGTTAGTGTTAATCTAAGCATTTAAAAAAGTTCTTATTTAAGAATTTCGTTTGCTCCGCGAAGTCTTAGGAAGGAAACTTCGTCTCCTCTATTTCTTCATGTGCAAAGGAGTAGATCACCGGAGCAGCCGACGATACAGGGCAGGCTTTGGATGAAGTGTTGTATTGCGGTCCACCCTACGCTAGCGAAAGTACTTTGTGTTAAATTTGTATTGCAGCGCTCTTCGATTCTTGACGTACAGTATGGAGTGCAGCGCAAACCAAAGAGCTTCACCAGTCACGCTAAAGGCAGTATAAAATGTGGAAGCTGAATGAAAATTAACTTAAAGAGACCTCTGTGGATATAAATCGTTTTACAACCAGACAAACGCAGAGGTTAGTGGAATTAGGTTTAAATTAATCTTTCTGCGCTTTCTCCATATATGTTTGTTTTCAATAGATTAATATTCGTTTGCAATTACTTGTATTATTATCAAAGGTATTTAAATACATCTAAAAACGTAAACGTACCATTCAATGACGTCTGGATTTTATTTCGGAAAAATTGAATTACGAGTGGCCGTGATTGCTGCTCCAGACTTTATTAGGCCTAACTGTATCCAGTCTTTGTTAAAAGTACCCTACCTCAGCATTAACAACTCATGCGATCCTTTTCATTGTGTGATATCCTTTCTTATGAGCTCTGAATTTAATTGGAATTACTGCAAAATTCCAGAAAAGCTATGCAAGTATTCAGTCCAAGAAAAAAGCACTTCAAGGCATTTCAGTATTACACGAGATTCAACAGAGCATACATACTCTACTGTATATAACATACAACAAAGGAATATGAGCAAAAATTTGATTTTGTGATTGAATTGTACTGCTGTACTAATCAGCATAAAATTAAATTTATTTTCCATCATAAACAGATGTGTTATAAAGGTATCCTTTCAGTTAAAGATCTTACTGTGCCTCACAAAACTGTTGTAATAAAAGCCCAGCAAAAGCTAGACTGACACTTTTAAGAGGGAGATCTGTATACTTAATCATGAGCTTGGACACCAGCAGTCAGCAACATTAAAGTCATAAAATGCTTCAGAGATTAAAACCCTTTTCTGTGCATTTTTTCTGGAAATATCCCATAGCTACAGTATGTGTTGTAAGATGTCTCGAGACAAGATTGGAAAGACTAAATGATTGAAGATCATCCTTTGGATGAAACAATAGTTTCTGACTTTTAATTCTTCTCTTAATCTGCTTATTAAGACCCTAGATGTAAAGAGCAATGTTACAAGTTTCTACTTCTGTAAGGCACGCATAGCTGATGCAGTTTATGGACCCTATGTGGAGTCCAGGACGCAGGTCAGAAAAGATGGGAACTGGGAAAGTAATCGGTACTACCAAAGCCATATCGCTAGACAAGAAACGAAGTCGAGGACAGGTTCCAAATTCAAGGCCACTAGTGATATTAAGAGAGAACAAGAGAGAACAAGAGAGACATTCCTAAGGAGTTCCCAATACCGACCAATGAGATGAGAATGGGAGGGTTTAAATACGTCTGGATGTGGAGAGTGTGGTAACCAGTGAGCTGTCCTGATTGGATAGCGGGTCCGATCTGCAGTGTTCGTGGGGATTGCCTCCAGCTGGTGCTCGATTGGTCGCGAGACCATTTGTGTGGAGGATTCTGACTAGCGGCGGGTGTGACAACGTTGGACTTTTACAAAGCTACTGGACTAGGATCTTGCATGCACAGTTTTTGCCATGTTGGATCACAACCTTAAAATTCCTCTGTACCAACCTAGTGTCATGTAAACACCAATGGTCCTTTTCTACATGTGTGAGCAAGCCAAGCATGAGAAGAATCCCATCCAAATCATGTTTTTATACAGGTACATACATAACCTGTGGTCCTGGCTGGCACGCTTAAAACATTCTTCAGCATCTTTCTGTCTTCCTTCCTTGTCTTACTGTTCATTACAATTCTCAGACCTTCTGTCTGATGATTCGAGTTCAGCTGCAGGTGACACGGAGTGAACAAAACCTGGGTACTGTTACAATCTACAACTCAAAACCACAATTGTTGGTGGTGGGGAGGCAGATTTTCTGGTCTTTGCTGGATTGTTACATCTGTTAAACAGCGGTGAAGAGGGGTGACGGTTGATGAGAACACTAAAGAGAAACTGAGTGAAAACCTAAAAAAGACAGCTGTGCAGTTTGCATCTCCTTTTCGTCAGGTGGGAACATATTTATGCACGTACATACACACACTAATCAATAGTTAGGATGAAGCAGCATGTCATGAAAACATTCAGATTTTCACTTTTAACATGAATTATTTTGTGCACCCTTCCACAGTTGTCTCCATCCAGGAAGCTTTGTTTTCACATTTGTGGATTGAAATTTAAATTGAGCTCAATTGCGTTCAATGATTCTGTGTTTACATTATGGTGACTGGAGTGTGTCTGCAGAAAGATTCAATTGTGTGGTACAAGCTTGTTTTCAGCTGAGGTCCTGAATTAAGAAACCCTTACAAAACCTCAGCCTGCAAACAACTTTCTCTCAATTCACAAGGCACCCGTATTGCATATGCATGTAAGAGTTTATTGTGTTTATTCTGTAAGTGTGACATTTCTGAGAATTGTGTTGACTTACTGCACTGAAATGTCAGACTAAACATGAATTGAGAGAAAAAAAATAGAAATGTCTCATTTTTTTCTTTGAGTTTTTCCTCTTTTGGAAAAATTTCTACATTCAATAGATATTCGAAAAGAGCCAATTAAACCAACAAAAATGTTTTGTATACACAGTATATATAATACTCAGTAAACAAATCAATGTTTTGTTGGACTATTGCACATACCATTCAAACTAGTAAAGAAATAGGAATGAAAACAATGGTTTAGAAAAGACTTGTTCTTTCAATTTATATTGACTCACCATTTGTTACCCTAATATAACATTAAGGTCCTGGGAGCTCAAGGGACTAAAATCGTAGAGATTCAGTAATAGTTAATTTATTCTGGGATCCTCTGGAGATTTGGATGGAGTTTGTACTGCACACATTTGTAAAGGAGAAATCATACTCTAGAGACTTATTAAAAGGAACAGGCAGGGGATGTTCAGTCAAAGTTATTTGAACACACTGAAGTAAAGTCACACAGAACAGAAAGAAAGCATGTGACATATCATTACAGTGCTTTTGGTAGTTTTTTTATAAGATCATTTACATTGTTTGATACCCATCAATAATCATAGATTCATTCTCTGTCCCTTACTTCATTTCTGTCTTTCTTTGTATTTAGCCTATTATTTAGGCTCCCTTTTCCCCAGAAGCCATGAAATTGATTATCTATAATTAACTAGTTTTCTAGGTCATCTCTTTACAACATGGCAAGGCAAGGAGAGATATATTTGCTCACTTACTAAACATTCAAACTATCTATCAGAAAGAATATTGTGGCACAGGAATCTTATTTCAAAGATAAGTAAATGTTACTAAATTTTTTTTTTCTGATAATATATGTTGAAAAAGGGTAGTCTTTAAACAACTTAGATTATCAAATTCATGCAGAAAGGAAACAATTATAAGGCTATAATGTACTGTATAAACACTGCATTATTTTTACTAAATCCTATGAAAAAGTACTATAAGCCCTCATTGAGCACAATATATCTGCGAGTGGTAAGTTGTAGATACTTCACAATTTACTGAATATTGTTCCTTATTGGTATATGAAATTCAAATGTATATAAAATTGTAAAGAAAGGTTTTCATAATTCATTTCTTGAGCGGACCGAGGAACAAAAAGTGCAATTTTTGGTAGCAATTGGTAGCATACCAATAAGGAACAATATTCAGTAAATTGTGAAGTATCTACGACTTACCACTCGCAGATACTTCACAATTTACTGAATATTGTTCCTTATTTGTATGCTACTCACTTTCACCACCAATATACTGTACAAGATGGGTCAACTAGCTCCCTCTCATTTGCATCTTTTCTTGTGTTATTGCAATGATAGGAATGACATAAATGATACATGTAGGGTGAAACTCAACATCTGAAGTGTGCAGCTTTTTAAAGTAAAAGTAGCGTTTTTTTTTAAACAAAACCCTAGACTTTGTGGTTTTTCTTGTAAAAATAAAAACTCCCAGGTTTACCAATAACTAGAGTTGCCAAGATATCCTCAGCTGTCTCTGCAATAAGACATGAAGTATCTGTGAGGGTAATAATGTTTCCCAAAGGTCCACATTTCTAGTAAATGTTTTATTTCAGCCTGAAATAGACAGACCTGTTGGTCCTATTATCTGCAAATGAAGTGACCCTTTATCATCTGCAAGCTCTCTTTTCAGGAGTCAACTTCCTGCAGGATGAATAATCTTATGAAATTCAAATGTGTATAAAATTGTAAAGAAGGGTTTTCATAATTCATTTCTTGAGCGGACTGAGGAACAAAAAGTGCAATTGTTAAATATACACTCAGTATCAAATGCATTAACATTTGTATGATTTAAGAAAAATGTGTGAGGATTTTGGATATTGATTAAATTTTTGGGGTGTCATTTTGATTAGTTGATCATTCATGACTAACCGTGGCATTTCGAGTGACTCTGATTGTTGCATAAACACTGAGTCACTTCAAGACTGAAATTAAGAGAGAAAAATCCAGAACAGAACTTTTTTGGCATCAATACATTAGAGGCTGGACTGAAGTGTACTGTTGGTTGTTGTTGGGCATCTGCAAAGCCATTTTTAACCTGGCAAGCTCACAGCCAAATATGAATTCCCAATGGTGGCTCACAGTCTAGGAGATCACATGTTACAACACCCTGCCAAGATTGATATGGAGGTCAAAGTGGGAAGGTCAAGCCAGGAATGTGTACACCTGTTGCAAAACTAATCATCACTTCACTGAAACCTTTGTGAATTCAATGCATGGATACATTAATATTGTAACGCATATGGCCTCCATTGGTTGTGAGAGCTGGCTTACGAGCGCGGTGACGTCATCGCCCTCCCTGTGAATCGCAGGAACCGCAGCCACTGGGCTGAAGGGAGA